CCATTCGGCTACAGCTGCGAGGAAGAGTTGTTAATGCAGCTACATGGTCACATTTAATAGTTTCCAAGCATTAATACACTCGCTCCCGCCCAAGCAAGGGTCGTCTCATAGGTGAGCAGCAGCATCTAGGGGGCGCGGTATGGGTCGTCACCTCGACAATTAACGGCACAATTAAAAACAATACCAACATGTTGTTGACAACGCTCCACGCTCGTGCAGCACTAAGTGTTTTGTTGTTGTTTTTTTGAGTGTGGCAAGAGACACGCCCACACCACTCGCTGAATGCCCATAATCGTAGCGCGAGACACAAGAGCTAAGAGCTAACAGCTAAGAGCTAAGAGCACCGAGCACCGAGCACCGAGCAGCGAGCACTTGGGCCCAAGACAAAACAGCCCTTGTGCAACGGCAAGATGAGAAAATGCAGCTTTAGCTTTTTACGATGAAAATTGTAATCACAACATATTGCACTCGCGCTGATAAGGATAAAGATACAAAGCTGATAGGTCACAGCATTTAGCCAAAGATGACAATGTGACCTCACCCCGGCTCCGGCTCTGCCCTGCCTCTGTCGCGCTCCGTGTGGCTCGTCCAGCTGCCTCACTTGGATCACTTAAGACCGTAATCATATCCGGAAGAGATTATGCTGCAATTTACACCCGAATGCGCCGAACACTTGAGCATTTCAGTCTCATCTCGCATTGTCCCAGCCAGCATCCAGTTGGCCCCCTCGCTGTGGCTTGTAGGTGATGAGTTTCCCATCTCTCTCTCTCGCTCTCGCTCTCGCTGCCCCTGTCTTTCTTTATCTTAAACAATGGAATTGGATTATAATTTGTTGTTGTTGTCGTTGATGGCAAAGTGCTTAAGCGCGCTTGAATGAGACACGTTGTTTGGCTCGTTGTTTCGTGCTCGAGTTGTATTGACACAATTTGTGCACAATTTCTCTTAGCCTTGCGGGGCGTGTCACAGATTTGTTGGCCCGATATGAGTTATTAATATATATACATATACATATATGTATGTATATGCATACACATTTGGAGCCAATTGAAGCAGCAATGGCGCCTCGCAAATTGTTTATGCGCCGTAAACAATTTGCCAGACATAATAAACAAGCATTTCGA